GGGTTCAATTCCCGAATTTTACCCTGTTTCGTTTTAGGGTTCATCAATCTGAATTGGGGATTTTTTGGGGTTTGTTGGAAACAGATCAATGTATGGAGAAACGAAAGTGCAGCTTGGCCTGTAGCAAACCCAGTTTTAACATGTGCATCTCTCACCAATTCTGGTCTTCCAAGCAACTTTGTAGCTGATCCTTTTCTTTATGTACAGGTAAACTTTGATTTTTTGCTTCATGAATCTCTATTCCAAATGTACTGAATCATGTTGAAATCTCTGGTTTATGGAGAACAGGGTGATACTCTTTACCTCTTCTTTGAGACTATGGATCCAATTACATCACAAGGGGATATAGGAGTTGCAGAGAGTATTGATAAAGGAGCAACTTGGAAGCCTCTTGGTATAGCTTTAGATGAAGCTTGGCACTTGTCTTTTCCATTCGTCTTCAATTACAACGGAGAAGTAAGATATATCGGTTTTTTCTTTACGCTATACACGTACACTGATGATGATTAAAGATGCTAACTTCTTGGCTTTACGTTTTTGTTTCAATAGATATACATGATGCCGGAGAGTAGCGAGGTAGGACAGCTTCGTCTCTACCGCGCTGTTAACTTCCCTTTAAGCTGGAAACTGGAGAAAGTCATCTTGAAAAAGCCGCTTGTTGATACGACTATAATCCATCACCAAGGAATCTATTGGCTATTGGGATCAGATCATAGTAGCTTTGGTAACAAGAAGAATGGACAACTTGAAATTTGGTATAGTAGCACTCCTCTTGGCCCGTGGAAACCGCACAAGAAGAATCCTGTCTATAACGGTAAAAGAAATGTCGGGGCAAGAAACGGAGGCAGGGCGTTTTTACATGATGGGAATCTTTATCGTGTTGGTCAAGATTGCGGTGAGAATTATGGGAAAAGGCTACGCGTATTTAAGATTGAGGTTCTTTCTAAAGAACTCTTCAGAGAAGTTGAAGTCCCCTTCGCTTTCGGAAGGTCGAATAAAGGTAAAAATTCATGGAATGGAGCCAGGCAGCATCATTTCGATGTACAACAGCTAAGTTCTGGTGAATACATTGGTCTTGTTGATGGTGACCGTGTAACTTCAGGTGATCTGTTTAATCGGGTTTTTCTCGGTTATGCCTCTCTCGTTGCTGCTATTTCTGTGGTTGTATTGCTTGGATTTTTGCTTGGGGTAGTGAACTGCATTGTTCCATCAACGTGGTGCATGAACTACTATGCAGGCAAAAGAACCGATGCACTCCTGAATTTGGAAACTGCGGGGTTGTTCTCAGAAAAGTTAAGACGGATTTGTTCCCGGTTGAACCGAGTACCGCCTTTTCTCAGAGGATTCGTGAAGTCTAATTCCTGCTTGGGAAAATTCACACTCGGTATAATAGTCCTTGTAGGGCTTTTGCTCACATGTGTAGGAATCAGATACATCTACGGTGGAAGTGGAGCGGTCGAGTCTTACCCTTTCAAAGGTCACTTATCTCAGTTCACATTAGCGACTATGACTTACGATGCTCGTCTCTGGAATCTGAAAATGTACGTTAAGCATTACTCTCGGTGTCCTTCTGTGAAAGAGATTGTTGTCATATGGAACAAAGGACCACCTCCTAAACTGACCGATCTAGACTCGGCCGTTCCTGTCAGAATCCGAGTCGAGAAGCTAAATACTCTGAACAACAGGTTCAATATCGATCCGCTGATCAAAACCCGAGCTGTTCTCGAGCTTGACGACGATATAATGATGCCTTGCGATGACATTGAAAAAGGGTTTAGAGTTTGGCGGGAGCATCCCGAGAGACTGGTTGGATTCTACCCTCGTTTCGTCGATCAAACCATGACTTACAGTGCAGAGAAATTCGCGAGAAGTCACAACGGATACAATATGATTCTCACGGGAGCAGCGTTTATGGACGCCGATTTAGCGTTTGGTATGTATCAATCCGATAAAGCTAAAATCGGTCGGGAATTCGTGGACGAGCAGTTCAATTGTGAAGATGTGTTGCTGAATTTCTTGTTTGCGAATGCCAGTGGATCGGGAAAAGCTGTGGAGTATGTGAGACCATCTTTGGCAATCGACACTTCGAAATTCTCCGGCGTAGCTATCAGTGGGAACACGAACCAACATTATAAGAAGAGAAGTGAGTGTCTCCGGAGATTCTCCGACTTGTACGGAAGCTTGTCTGATCGGAAATGGGAATTCGGTGGGAGAAAAGATGGGTGGGATTTGTAGAACAGAAGCTTTACTTGTAGGGCAAGTAAGTAGTTCTTCAGAAGAAAAAAA